TATTTGCAGTATATTACCTGCTAAAAGCAAATATTATACAGATTTTTTCAGGTTAATTAACAATTCATTGCTGAAAGTACACATTAAAGTGACGCAAGAAATACATGAATTAAACTGACACATTTTGGATGTCAGTGTCTATATGAATAACTAAAATCTAGGGCATCATCTCAAGGCTAATTTGTTTTCGTAATTGAAGAAGCAAGGTCACAGATATACTGAATGCATTTTGGCCTCAAGTAGTTTACTCATGCTGTGCGCATTGAAAAGGCAACATAAGGATGGTGACGGATTCTATCTTCAGCAAAAATACAAATGCACACTTTTATTGAACCTATATCAAACAGATAAACATGATATTTGGGAACCTCATGAACCTTCAACTAAAAATGTCAACAAGGATAAATTAATTTTAAAAATAATATCAAATATACACACACATACACACACACTAAGCTTGCATGTTATGGCGATCCTCTCCAGTGCCACTGTTCCAGATTGCACACAGAATTGAAAAAAGGAGGATTAAACCGATGGGGATTAAGGGGTCTTTATCGCTCACTGTCCTAACACACGACTCAGAAAGCCCATATCAGCTTTTAATTTAATGGCAGAACACGTAAAAAATTCACAAATGTTGTTTTGTTTATACTGCATGTATGAATGCTTTCACACAACGTTAAACCTGCTGAAAGTTGCCGTCTCTTTCCTGCAGAACAGTTCATCTGATCCTCCCAACAGCACTCAGGGGCCCACCACAGATAAAAAAGGTGCGTTTATGCGTTTCATTACACCATGTTTGAATTGTTCATAATTGACTTCTTGAAAACTCCTCCATATTTTGTTCTCCACCAGAACTGTACGGTTACATAAGGCCAGGTTTATACAAGTGTAGCCAACCACAAAACAGATGTCTACTAGTCCAGTCTGATTGTTATCTGTTTTTACTATTTTTATCATAAAATATCAGTTCAGTTCTCGCTCTCTTAACAAAAAAGCACACACGAATACCCACGAGAACTGAAGCACACATTTACTCTAGAGACAGTTCTTTATTGCATATCTAGTGGAGGTTGGTTATTCCCATAAGGTCAGGGTGTATTCAGCTGACTTACCCTTTCATCTCACAAAAGCCCTGACGTTGCAAACCGCATTAGCTAATTAAATGAGCTCGTAATAACTTAAAGGGATATTTCATCTAATAAGAAGATATTTTGAAGAATGATTCAGCTGGTTTTGACCTAGTGTGACCTGTCGGTATGATGCATTATATCTGTTTCCTTCTTTTCAAGACAATTAAAGCTTTAAAAAAAATAATTACGGGGTATTACTGATATATTTTAAGTTGTAGAAAAAAAAGTGAAATATCTTAAGCTTGTTTTAACCACAGGCCTTTTTTTTTAGCCATTTAACCAATAACCCATTCAAAAAACTCATTGACTTTGGGTAGATGGAACCGGAAGTGATAAAATGTTAACTAATTTCCAGGTTTTGGCCCTCAAAAATACATAATTTCTGCAGCACATCCCTGCATATTAATTTAAGATACAAGAAAATATTTTAACATCGAAACAAATAGACACTTCAGTTTTAACTATGAAAATATGTTCTGATTAGAGATATTATAATGGTTGCATATTTTACAGTTCTGTGGTATGAAAATGTATAAACAATTTATGTAACAGGATTTAACCTGCCTGAATTAGGACACACTGGCTTAAAAAAAAAAGTGAGAAATCCTTTTACTATGTCATCGACATTGTCAGTGTTTCTATGTCATGTGCCCCTCAGCCCCCCAGGAGAAACCGGCGGACAAAGCGGGGAAGAACCCTATGCAAGAACCTGAAGAAGAGATTGACATTGATCTGGATGCACCAGAGACGGAAAAGGCAGCTTTGGCAATTCAGAGTCAGTTCAGACGCTTCCAGAAGAAAAAGAAGTAGAAAAGGGAAGTATGAACGAAAGGATCCGTGCAGAGGACAAAAAAACCTTCCGCAATATTCGAAATGGAAAGAAATTTAATAAGGAACAAACAGAGAAAAGGGAAAAGTCAAGTGTGGGTGGGAAATTAGGGGTTTGGAAAACAAATGATAGCCCTGTGGCATCAACATGCCGGGTTGAATAGAGTTTAGGACATAAGAATAGAGAAGGATTTTCACTTTAAAAGACATTGCAGATTTTATTCTCGTTGTATTTGTCTAGATTTGTCTCAATCCTTTCTCTCCTCTCCTGTAGACATAAATATAGGTAGGAATGTGTTATTGACATGCGCAACACACATCTATCATTTAATACAGTATATTTAGTATATCATCGATGCAAAATGTAATTTATATAAATGCAAGAATTCAAAGGGCAGTAATGACCAAACGGTGCACTGCACCTACAGTAAAACATGCTGGTGTGAATTAGCATAGATATGAAGTAGATTAGTTGTAAATGTATTCTTAGAGGTAGCTCTTAATTGTTTTTTTTCTTTCAAAATGACGCGTTTGAAAAATAAAGCAATCTCTGTAACACCATTATCTGTTTAGCATTAGTTGACTACATTAACATGGACTAACAATTAATTACTTCTAATGCATTTATTAATCTTAGTTAATGTTAATACATTATTAAAAGCATTAACAAAGATGAATAAATATATTAACAAAGGAACTGCTTGTTGTTATTGTTAGTTTAATGCATAATTGTAAAGGTGCTAACGAAATTTCTTTATATCAACCGCATACTAAATAATGATTATTTGATAACAGAAAAAATATAATAACCTGACATTAACAGAAGAATTAGCAATAGCAATATCTTGCATATTTCTGCATTTTGGACAGGTATTTAATCAAGACATTGTATAAAATGAAGTAGCTTGTTATTTTCAAATTGATCCCTATTCATGCAATTGGCCTTGAAATACATGTGAAACAGGTATAACAAGTATAACATTTTTGCTCAATTTACTGTATTTTACCGGCCGGTTGAATTTAGCTCAAGGTCGAGAACCTTTTTAAGTCACGTCATACTCAATTAAATGAGCATAATGCCTTTAATTTTTGCTTTATTGCCAGTTACAAGCATGCAGCGAGATCCTTGAATTTTTGGTGAGTCAAATGAAGATGATTATCAAGGAAAGTGTACCATTTGATCTATTTTAAGTGTCTTTCTCCTTCCCCTATAATTAAAGCGGTCTCTACAGATATTTCAGAATAGCTCATAATAATGAGAGCAGATAGACTCATGATTATCTCACAGTTAGTGGGACAAATGATGTCTGTAATTGCATTTAGACAGGTGTGATGAAAATGTCATCTGTGTTTGATCGTTTTCAAATAGTTGCTGGCAATGCAATAATTTAATACATATGTCCTGTATTGCCCTGTACTTCTTTTCCTGTGCATGTGCTTATGTGTGCTTAAGTGCTCTAACCCACACTTGTTTCTTTTTTCTGTGTGACTCAGTCTAAAATATATGCTTCAATAGCAAGAACTGTATGTTCTGAGCTGAATTGTATGTCCTAGGGGCAGTGAGTCCATGGTTATATAAAGTAAAGAGCATTATATAACATTAGTTTGTTTCTTACCATCAAACCTATTTAATGGATACTGGAAATGCATATTGCTTGTAGGCTGTAGTAGTATTTATTTAAACTTGCGATCTAAAATAATGTGTTTAAACAGAACATTAAATGCAAGCAAAGCATTAAGCACAAAGTGAAGGGTAAAAAAAGTTCTTGATTATTTCTACTTGTTATTTATAACCCAAAATATTAAGCTATTTATAGCTTTATAGCTAGTTTGCTGCTGTCCCCTGCAATGAAGCACATTCAAGAGTTAATTTCAGCTTCATTTGAACATTTAATGAATGCACATTTAGGCTACTTATGTTTGGGTGCTGATGTGTAGGACATGCAAATGTTTATCTTGTGAGAGGAGATGATGCTGTCATACTTTAATAGATACTAAAAAAACAACAACAACTAAAAACACTTAATAGCTATAAACTATATAAATACCCAAAATACCAAACATATACAAACATTTTCTTCAACAGCAGAGGGCATTCTCTCCCTTTCTTTCAGTCTTAGGCCTATGTACACACAAGCAGAGAAACATGAGGCCCTGTCACAAATGCAACAATTGATGTGAAGAGCAAAGCTCGCATGCATTAAAAGTTCATGAGACTGTATAGGGTGTCCCATTTGTCATTTGAGGTTGCAGAAGAGTCCTCAATCCCACCTCTAGCTGTGATTTATGGCTCTGCTGCAGGTGGATTTTATCAGAGGCGCTTCAAGGACCCTTCAATGTTAGCAAAAAAAAACAAAAACCTCAACACTGTTTTTGGATGCCGTGAATGGAAGTAGGAGATTTTGTTGTCGATAGATAGATGCTTATCTCGATTTCGGAGTACGCTGAATAAACTTGTGAGGAAACATCTCACAACAATGACTCGACAGCCTGTCGGCTAATCTTCAACATGTTTGCCAATAAACATTCATTTTGGATTGAATAAATTGCTCTTTTATAAGAGAAGGGTTAGGCTATTTATTACAAAATAAATACAAAAACGCATTTTGCATTCATTAAAAAAAATACACATTTTAGGAAGCATTTTTAAAAATAAATGTTAAATCATAAACAAACTACCTATTAATAGACTAACAGAAAACAGAAAATGCTTTTTTATAAAAAAAAATGATATATTTACAAAAAATGAATAATACATAAAAATAACAAAAATACATTACATCTTTGCTGCATAAAGCCCAGCATAAAAACTGTTTTTTTTTTTTTTTGTGGGCAGAGAGGAGGAAATAGGATTATAATCCAAATTTGTGTCACCTGCACATACCCCAAAGATTCATGTGTTGGAACACATGAACTACCCACTAGGTCAGCTCCAACAATTGCTCATTTAAAGTTCTCGCACTCATAAAGAAAATAAATCTAGATTTACCGAATGCCTTTTTACCTACAAATGATAGTTAGTTGTGCACTCTGTCATTACTGGTTTAAGGTGGATCCCTTTTTTTTTTTTCCACAAGAACAATTTGATTAATGTAAAGCCACAAAAGAATGCTTCATGGATATATTGCTGAAGGAACTGAAACAAACAGATTTCTGTGTGTGTGTGTTGTAAACCACACTAGCCAATTGTGAGAATCTTAATTATAGACTACAGGCCGTGGGAAACAGGTTGAGGGTAAAGTTTCTGACTCAACCCTTATGCTGTGTAAGCCCTTCACATTTTTACAGTGGTCTGTTTTTTCACACACATTCTCATTCATTTATTTATTTACATTGTTTACAAGAGTGAACATTATTGATACACCTTAAATATCAAAGTTTAGTGGTTTGTTTTAAACCTACAACCCTAAAAATTAATTTAGAATTTTTCGTCTGCATACTTAATGGTGATTACCATATTTAACATTTTTTCAGTTAAATAACAAGAATGTTGATTCTCGTGTGTAGCACACAGGAAAAAAAGATGCATGCTGAGTGGCATCAGTTTGCATCCACTGGTATTTATTTAAAGAAATGCAAATCTACTTGTTTTTCTCTTACTTCTTACTATATCATCTTTGATTTTCCTGAACAACACAACATGAGTGTTTATAGGCTTCTTTTCTTTCTGTCTCATTAGATTCCTCTTATAATCTGTTTTCAACCCCTTAACATCTGTGTAAATTCTTCTATTTTCTATATTCTAAATCTTTCCAGGTCCTTTCAATTCAACTGCTTTATTCCTTCCCACTTACCATTTTTCATTTCAAATCTTTCAATTTAGTGCTTCTGTTGTTTCCATATGTTGGCTCACTGATAAGACCCTTTATCATTCACTCATCTCTTTGACTCCTCATTTTATTTCTTTTTTTGGCATCTCTTTCTCAGCATCTCCTCTCTTGCTTCGGTTCATTTGCTGCTGCATAGTTTTCTGGTCAATTTTCTCCTCCAACTGATCTATTTCTTGTTCAAGTAGAGCCAGTTTAACAGGATTTGACTCACAATGGTCTTCATCCTCCTCCTCTTCCTCATATTCTTCCACTTCAATTCCATCCATGGTCTTTTGAAGCTGAGTCTTCACTTTGTTTAGTTCTAGTAGGCCATGTTGAAGCTCTTTGCAGACTTCTCGGAGCTTGGAGGCAAATTTGGTCTTAGCACCTTTGCGAAGTTCATTGGAGTCTTTGGCGAGAAAGAAGACATCCAGGGCAAGGAAGAGAGTGGACATGACCCCTGTGGTGATACTGACGGCCTTGGCGGCTTTAGCAGCACCTCCAGCAACACCTAGAACTTTCACAGTGTTGATAAGCCTATCTGTGTTTATCATAAGGGCTCTACCTGCTCGTCCACCTTCCTTCATCACATGCTTTATGTTACGACTAAGACTCGTGTTGACCACACTCTCAGAGTACCTCTTAAAATCCCATTCCTGTAGGGTGTTCATTCCTTCCTACATACACAAAAGAAAAAATCACATCAATCAGACAGAAAGACAAATAGACAAACAGATGGACTGATAGATCAACATACAGAGAGAATGATAGCCTGGCATACAGACAGTTGACACACAGATGGAATGCTAAACATACCTGCATGAACTCCAGACAATCTCTGATGTCACTGATCTCATTCTGGTAGCCTTGGATCATCTTCTCCACCTTCTTGCGATCCATCTTGGATTGAACCGCATCGGTGATGTTAGCTGTGGCTGAGGTGATGCTTCCAGCTGTTGCCACACTGACACCCACCGCAGTAACGATAGTGGAAGTGCCAAAGGTGAAGGGTGCCAAGATGAGTCCAGTAATGGTGGCTATGCCCCCTGCCACACTAGCTACGCCCCCTCCAACAGCTGCACTCACAGTCTTCTTATGAAAGCTGTCAGCAGTGTCTGCCAGAGCAAGCAACTCTAAAATATGACGTTGCAGAGATGCCCCACGCTGGTTGAACAGACTGACAAAGAGACGGGCAGCCCTGAACACACGGTCTGCAGCAGCCTCGACAGCCCTGACAAAACATAAAAAAAGATCAGTGGAGGCGATTAGACAATGATTTTAACTTAAATCCACATTTACTCACAGCTCCTCGTCATCCTCCTGAAAATGTGCTGTTTCATTCCATTCACTCCAACCTGTCAAAAGTCAGTAAGTCAAATGAAGTTGCTAACAGTGATCTAAACTAGATATAGTAACAGGGATGAGGGACAAAGATTAACCAATCGTCCAACTGATTAATTTTAGTCAACTTAGATTAGGAGACTAGTCATTTTTGAAAACATGTAGTTTTGCATATCCATAATAGGTAATCAGGTCATTTGACCCAACTCACCCTCAACAGTTTTCCACCAGTCCATCAGGTCATCATCCTGTGAAAAGAGAGCAAGAGAGAAACAAAAGGTTAAAATATATATCATAATTAACATTATTGCATAATAATGAAACAATAATGATAATATACCTCATCTGTCGCTAAATAATTTAAATCTGTTGGGTAGGCAGCCATCTCCAGTGGCAGGATTTCAAAAGTACAGTCCTGTAACATTCAGAGAATAAGAAATTAATTATTATGTGATGGCATAATAATGTGTCAAATAAGTCAAGGACTGCAATAAACTCCAATGTCCATAATGTACACTCATTCACATACTCATTGCAACAATAACTCACCTCATTTGTCCCCAGTTGCTGCATTTCCATTGGCTCCTCAATCATATCTTCTTGATCTGAATCCTATACAGATTTTAGAGTATGGCAGTTGTTTTGATGTAAAATATCAAGTGATCTTTTACAAAAGTGTTAACACTACCTGCGTACTGGATGAAAATGTGGACATTCTAGGTAGAGTTCTCTTCACTCTAAATGACACAACCTGAAAAAATGTGAACAGCACATGAGTTACTTCAGAATGTGAACTGACACTGTAAATAATTTCAGGTGCAAACAAAAAGTCCAATTCCACTACTGTTTGTGGCAAGTAGAATTATGGACTTAAATTTCCTACAATATTCCTGCCTATGTATGCCACTTTTGTGACCTTCAGAAGAGAAAACAAGTACTGCTCTATTTAGAAAGTGAGAGAGAGGCTTACTTTGTTATTACTGTTAGAGAGTTTCTTGTCATGGTATTTTCTGGGTACAGATTTCTATCAAATAGAAGAAACAGTTCAGCATTTGTTTCACAACATCATCTACTTTGCAGGCAACTTAAAATCTTTACCTTTTCAACGCCAGTGTCCAAGAAATTATAATCCCAGTCTGTAAATTCACTGTGCTCACTTAGCGGGTCCTACATATCGGATAAACTGTCATTTTAATTTGATTAAAAATGGTATAAAATCTAAATACAGTAATAAGTAGAGGAAGATGCTCTACCGTTTCAGCAGGAAAACGTAACGCTGGTTTTGGGGAACTGCGGAAAGTGCCACTTAGCTTTGCTGAGTTATCCTGCACAAAAAGGACAGTTATTGTCAATAGCAGGTGACTAAGCAATTACAATAATATACATATATCTTACTATATAATATAAATAAAAGGTTGTGATAAGCACCTTTAAGTTGTTGTTGGAGAGATATAATAGATTGTCATTACAGGCCAGCAGTTTAATGTGTAACGGTGGGCTGTCCTACAACAAGAGAGCTTGTAACTATTGTGCATTATCAACAGGAAGGCAAGGAGTAGCAATACAAAAAATATACAAATCCTACAGATAAATAAAATAGACAGTCATATGTTAATTATTTTTTGTTGTAGCAATATACCTCTTCAGAAGTATCCTCAGCTCCTCTAGGAATTGTTTTGAGAAAATTAAACAGGGAATTTCCCTCCTAATGAAATGAATCCGAGAGTTAGAATGACATTTTGTGTGACTTTGAATTCATTATACATGGCCAATGTGATTGTTGTTACTGAACCTACTGCCATTGTGACTTACAAGATTGTCACTGCCTGAAAAATCATAATTTTTCAATGCTGGTTCTTCCTGTAAAGAGACAGAAGACCAGCACATTATGCAAAGCTACAAGAATTATATAAAAAATTAGACAGTATTGCAAAATGTAATTTTTAAGACATTAATTTAAGAATAAATGATTGCATCCAAGGCTGCAGTTTTGTCACACCGTGGTGTTGTTGTTTTGTGTTTTGTTGTGATTGCCAGCTGAGAGTTCTCCATGTTGTAATGATGGCTCTTCCTGTTAAGAAAGAGAGGAAGGTAACATCAGACATACAGTATTTGTGAGCTAAACCAAAGACAAGCTTCAAAATTGCAGGTTGCATTATTCTGTGTAATGTGCAACATCAAAGCATGATTTTACTGACTGAACTGTAAAAAAAAAAAAAAACTGACCACAATTATAGCAATACATTTTATACAGTTTACTGTATGTTTTTGTGGACACAGGGTGGATCATCTGAGCTGTTGTGGTGTCCTTAGAGCACTAAATACTTATTTTTAAATCCAAACATATTGTGTCATTACAAACCATGTGATTCACACTGGATATTCAGTCTAAGGTGTGATGTCATGTGATGTTAGGTGTACTGTAATCACAACAAACCTTATTGCTGTGTTGGCTAGACAGACTGTCAGTGGTGGCAGTGAAGCCATCCTGAGCCAAATCTCTTATAAGTTTGCATTATCTTTCATATAAGATCATAATCGTTAGCTTAAAATGTATGTGCCACTCTACAGGCATCTCATTTGACCATGAGATTCCTCTCCTGAGGGTTTAGCTGATTTGTGGTCAATTTCACTGAGGAAGTCTCTTGCCTCCCCCTAGTGGTAAAACATGGTACAGTTTCATGGCCTGACACTAATACTGATACCTGATACTAACTGTGTGATGTAATGTCATTTTTATCTGCAAAGCATGTAGGCCTATGTAAGACACAATGGATGAAAATAGCAACATTCTGGTACCTCAGTGCTGTTGACTCATGTTCAGGTCATTTCAACACTAATAACTGATTATATATGACTATATGAAATAGCTTCAGTTGTCTGTCATGAATAAAAATATTGGCTTAAATTGACTATTTTAATGTCTAAAAGCTCCACCAGAAGTTTTACCTCTTGTGCAGGGAGTCTCGTCCACGTTTTAGTTATTTTAAACAACCGGCTGAAAATGGCAACGTTCCCCTGATAAATGAATGAAGAAAATTTGCATTCTATAAACATTTTCATCATAAAAAGTGAAAACTATGAATCGGATATAAATTTATACCATTTATGATAAAAGTCAAGTTTATAATAAGACGACAGACCTTTGGGTTATCGTTGCCCGATGGATGATCATTAAGAGCCGACAGTTCACTCTCAGTTAGCTTGTTCTGGGAAAAGATTAAATTATTCTTCTCAGAAACATGCCACTGCTATATTTACTGTATAGATTCTACATATTACTAAATCAGATCCTTCCTTGCAATCTGCCTATATTTCAAAATGTTATTTATTGTAAAGCAAAATCAATGCAGATTCAGAACAGTATTCAGAGAAATCAAACCATAACATTAACTCTCAAGTGCATTAAGACAAAACATACATTAGCTTTACATACATTAACCTTAATTTTGCTGTTCTCCAACAGACCATCATTATTGCTCGCGAGTTCACCATTCTCATCCTAGAGAAGAAAAAAAATAGTCAACTAACCGTTGCCAATGAAAGCCCAGATATTACGAGAGAGTCTAGTTACATCAAACTAATTACCTTAGTGTGAAAGCTTCCTGTTCCTACACCCTTAAACATGTACTGTCTCGCCTCAGATGAGCGCTCAACTACGTCTGAAAGCCTGGACATTGAATCTGCTTTTTTCTATAGCACAAGCAGAGGAAAAAACACACCGCAAAACACAAATTGGAAGGTCATTCATATATGTGGTTGCTAAAAAGTATTTGCGCATTTAATTGTGTTATACAATGACATATGATATTGCTCACCTGAATGATCTGCTGTTTTCCTCTGAATTAGTCACTGTCTGTCAACTTTCACACCTATGGAGGAATATTCACCACTAGTGAAGTAAATTCTACTTACAAATCTGTTAATGCAGTTTATTTTTTAAATATCATGCTTTAAAATCACCTTGAAAGCACATAGCTTTTTTTGTATTTTCTGAAAAGCCAATCTAATTAGTTAATCTTTACAATATTCTCATACTATTTAGAATCATTCTAAAATATTGTGCCTTTTTTTGCTAACATACACAGTCAATATCTTACATTTACACATAAACCTATAAAAAGAGTTTTCTCTCGCTTTGATTTTTTTGCTCTATGTCATTCACTGGACATTTTCTGGGGTGGACTCTTCTATTCGGGATTCATGTCCATGGATGTTATTCTGCCAGACCAGGCCCACAGAGAGTAAAATTAATTATCACAACCAACTTCTTTCACAGATTATGAAGAAATGGACAATCATCTCCAGACATTTTTTAGTGGTTCATTAAATAGTTCATGACTTCCTTTTAAATATCTATAGTTCAAATAATTTCCATAATCACTTCCATAATAAATGCTTAATATACATAATAAATGCTTAATAAAAATGCTTAGCCTTTTTTTGCTTATTTTTCTTTCCTTTTTCCATTTTTTACATAATCTTCATGTTCTTAATTTATAATAAAAATGTGTTTTTCTTTTTTCTCTCTTTATTAGACACTGTATTAAATGTATTATACAAATAAACTTACCTTGCCTTTTCATGTCATAATTGAACAGGTACTGGAAACATTTATTTCCCGAAATGCAACAGACATTCATAATCAAATCTCTTGTCAATATTATTAGACCTATCTCGCAGTCAGATTTTAAAAAAAAAGGTAAAAGAAGTCTATATATTCTTCCACTGTTTTGTGGACTATTTGTGATTAGCTGACATAAAGCATTAATGGAGTTAGGTTGACTAAATTGTATTTTGTGTTTTGAGACTTGAGAATCTGCTTACTCCCCACTTTTTTGTTTTTAGTGTTTGTGCTTAAATGGTAAAAATCCATCAATTATTTTAGCAGTGTCATGTATGATGCCCTGACAAAGAGTGATATTTTATTATCATATGACTGTATCCTTACCTCATTTAGGGGAGGTCTGAGCTTCCTGTTTCAGTTTTCCCTCTGGAATCACAATTGCACTTCTCCATTTCTAACATAAGAAAAAAAAACATGTTTACACAATGTATCATGGTAAAATAATGTAAACTATAATTATGAAGCGTTACTCAGGTAACACTGCACATGAGTGCACTGTAAAACCATCCTCAGAGTCGGGAGCGCCAGACACTGACATAATTCATGATGACAAACAACTGCAAACAGTAGGCTACATACGCGTCAACGCCTCGCGTTCCAGGGCTTCATTAAACGTTCGTTAAGATGCGCTTTGGTTTGCTCACTTTTTATTATTTTATTTTCAAACAATGTAGAATTATTTTTCTTTTTCGAGCTGACAGCTTGTTCTGTCGTTATTGTGTATTTTTCTAGTCTCAGAGAATGCGTCTGTTCTGGAATGACACGTTGCGCGGGCGAGACAAACACAAAAGACTCTTACCGAAACTTAATAGTTTATTTAATTAACATTACAGAACTGACAATTCGTGACGATATTTCACCGTACTGTTTTGCCTACCTTAGGTTCCCATGCGTACTTCTACAGAGAAACGGCCTGTCAAAACTTTGTCAAGCTCCGCCCGCCGCCCGGTTAATCTGTGTTGAGTAAAGACAGCACAGCGGGGCGGTTGAGCAGGGTACTGTGACGTCGGTGAATCATATCTCTTCACTTCCACTAAACGAGTAACAAGTAATGTTTGTTACTTTTGGCCCAGGTACTGAGTTTTATTATAACAAATTAACCTCTTTTTTGTTACATAAAGTTCACGTTAAAACCGCCTTGAAAACTTTTTAGAAAACCCATAAAAGTTATTGGAGAATAAATACAAACTGAAACAAGCACAACCTACTGCAATAATCACTGTGTGAAAATATATTTTATTGGTTTTTAAAATCACTTTAAGACTGTCACACAGTTGTGGTGACATTTCAACCATCAAAAATGTTGACACAGACAGACAGACAGATAGACAGATAGATAGATAGATAGATAGATAGATATGTGTATCAGTGACATAAATATTTGGCAATGGTAAATTTGCAAGTAATTAAATGTAATAAATAATTAACTAACTAATGTTCTTTATCAGGTTGTTTTACAAAAAAATTCACAAAATAGCCTTATAAAAGCAGCAAATAACAAGCAGTGGATATAAAGTCATAAAAACAAAATAAGATCCCGAATTTCCTTTGCTGTCTAATAAGGAAAGTCAGTAGCTATAGTTCTAGAACCATATAATTTTTTTAGATATATCATCTAGTCTGAAAGTAAAAAATAAACTCAGGGCAGTGTTTACAGAGCTTTTCAAGATGGTTTGTCTTCTTTCATAGTGGTGGTCAACCGCAACTCATCTCGGATTATGTTAAATTCCATCAAGCCCTCATGCAGCTGATCTGCCACCTCTCTAATCTTGGCAGCAAATTCTGATTTTGCACCATTTTTCAGCTCATGGGAGTCCTTGGCCACAAAATAGATGTCCATCCCGACAAAAAGCCCTGTCAGAACACCTGTGGATATACTAGCGATCTGCACAGCACGTGCCGCAGTGGTTCCGGCCGCGTTGGCTATCTGCATCACACGCATAATCTCATTGGCATTGGTGAGAATAGCTTTGCCCGCCATGGCGCCATCCTCGTAGATATTGTTGAAACAAGGGAAGTCTTGATTATATGCATGCTTCTTCATCTTATTCCGGTTGAACTTGCTTAGGTTTGTAATGCCTTGCTTGATAAACTTCATGCATTTGTTAAGGTCAGCCATCTTCGCCTGGTAGTCTTCCACAATGCGCTCCACCTTCTTGCGATCCAAAGAGTTGTTGACGGTACTGGATATACCAGCAGATGCAGAGGTAAGACCACCTGCCATGGCAACACCCAGACCAACCGCAGTGACGATCAGAGAGGTTCCCATTGTGAAAGGTGCTAAGATGAGGCCAGTTATGGTAGCAACACCTCCCACAGCACTGGTGGAGCCACCAGTGATCTGGGCAATCTTGGTTTTCTTGTTGAAGCGGTCCAGGCCATCAGCAATGGCATGCAGGTCGATCACGTGCTGCCACAGTCCTTCTGCCCGTTCTGAGAAAAGTTTGTTGAACACACGTATGCCCTTTTGCACCTTTTCAGCTGTTACAGCAAAAGCCCTGAGAAAAAGACAATTGGTCAGTCAAATGCACTTTGTCATGTCACATGCACACAGAATGAATTGGGAATTACTTGGCTTCCTCTTTCTCTGTCATGTTGTCACATTTGGGCATGTCCTCCCATTCTAAATTGGTAAAAACAAAAAGAGAGGAAAATAACTAAGAATATCATGTCCAGATCATGATGGACCATCTATCAGAACTTTATTAAGAATGAATTACTGTTAATTAGATTACATAATAAGTATGTGGGGTGGGTGTTTCTGAAAGTGGACAAACAGGGTAGGAAAACTCACGTTCCACAGTGTTCCACCAATCCATGAGGCCATCAAGTTCCTGTGACAGACATATTTAGGATGACTAAAAAATTGTATTTTTAGAAAACAAAGGCAAGGATCTTTATTTATAGAACCAACCTCCTCATCTTCTCTCTGAGTTTCACTTAAACGGAACTCATCCAGCCATTCCATGAGGGACTTCTTGGGGCCTTTAGTCTTAGGGGGAAAAAACAACAACAACAGAAAGTAGATTGGACAACTACGTGTAAAAGGGAACTTGAAGGGAAAATTCCAATGCAGAAACCAACAGAAATTGCAGAAGTTGTGAGTAAAGTAGGAAGGTAGTGTGTTTGTGTGGTTTTGTTTTTTGTAACAGGTTGCAAAAATCACTATTTGGTGTTGTAAGCTGATTTTTATTTTTTTTTTTAGCTTGATGAGTAAAAAAATAGTAATTGTTCATTTTTTAATTAAGATGCAAAATAACAGAAGCACAGAATGCTTCCTGTAGAGACACAACTTTTCTTATTAATGTTTGCAGACATATAGAATTCCACTTCTTTTTTTGTGCAACTGTTAGGCAAGCCATGTTGCATGGCTCATTTATTGTCACCTGACCTGTAGAGTAAAACAGTTTATGAAGGCCTCAGTGGGTTTTTATATTTAGGATACCACATCTCTCAGTTCTCATTCTTTGCCTGGTTGAGTCTTGTTTTCAGTGTCACAAGAGTTATTGATTAAAAGAACTGCTAGGACATTACAGCACCTCTGCAAGGTCACTGCCACTGTCTCCATTTTGGTTTCCATTCTTCTGAGTTGTTTTGTTCTGAAATAACAGCACATGGTTTCATTAACTAACAACTGTGAGCATATTAAAAAAGTAAACATGTAAAATGTTTACCTTTGCTGCAATCTGGGGCATAAATGGATTTCTGGGTTTCTTCTTTTGTCCTTTTTGCTGTAAAAATGTCATATGGTTTAAAGCTGTTCGACTGGGATGAAGTCCAGATCACCTGTTTTGGTTCTCTGAAAACATGCAATGGTAAGGCCATCAGTATTTACTCCAAATGGTAAAATGGGTGCTTACTTTTGGATTTTCCTCTTCTCCAGGTGTCTCAGCCACTTTGTCAGACTTCTTTTCCATGATTTCATTGCTAGTGTCCTGTAACGATGAGTAGAATGCATATAACCCTATGATTCAGAAATTACTTTAAAAGTGTTTATCTGGCCTATACTCTGTATTTATGAAAAAAGACAAAGAAAATACAGAATGCAATTGATGACAGAATACAAAATGATAAACTAACAGAAGTGCCATTAAAAAAACTTTAGTTAACCTTTCATGTTTACCTGACAAAACAGCACAATTTGCTGCATGTTTCAGACAAGTATTTAAATTGTAGCCTCACAATTTGCTTTGTTATTGAACTACTTTATTCGACCTCTGCTAGATGATCTTATAGAACAATTTGAGTCATATTCCACCCAGCATTCTGATGTGCATGTGTCTACTTGCCTTTTATCTTTGGTTACTGCTATTTAGGCTACGCCAATAAAAAAATCAAAAAGTATTGCTGAAAAAGCCCAAAGGTATGCTCAAAGAACAGCTTCCATACCAAGCTAGACTTGCACAAGATTCCTAAACAAACAGCAGCAACTTCACCAGTCTGTTACAACATGTTTTCAATTAACCTCAAAGTTTAGGAGTAATGTCTGTATATATAAACCTAATCGAGTGTTAAAGTCTTAAGCCTTTTTTAATAAACAAACAACACAGGAATGTCACAAGAAATACATCTACAAAAAATCATGATAATAATTTTCAAATAAATATAATAATACTGTAATTTTTTATTATAAAATATTATAAAAAGAATAAAAGAAAAAGCAAAAGCAGTTACATTTTCTTTACATCAGAAACCAGTGCAGAGATGAAACTGTTTATTTACCTGCTTATATGTTGGTTGGCTCTCAACATTAACCAGCTCGTCTGTATCTAATCCAGAACCTGTATCCTTGGTATAAAAGAGAAAAGTGCATTTTAGACAATAAGCATTTGATTAAAATGCCCATGCCTTTTGAAATTGACTGGATTAAAGGCAGCCCTAAGAGCCACCCAAAGATGTAATAAATCTGAGCTGTAATATATGTATTTAGCTGGCAAATAATTTACAAAGTTGCATCTTTAAAAAGCAATGAATGCCCAGCCCACCTGCATAGATTTTGACTGTTTATCCTCAGGTTTCTCACAGGGCTCCAAAGACTGTTTTGTTTTTTCCATGCCCTGCTGGGGAAGCAGATGTCTTCCTATTACAACATGTTTTATCACCTATAAGAACTAGTGAAATTACAAAAAAAGATCAAGTATGTGGAACATTAAGTAAGGGTTAACTAACACACAACACATGGAGCATGCAATACATGTCAGTGTGTCAGTAAGTGAAAGTGAGAGGGACAGAGTACAGACATATAAAAGGCAGACAAGGTAAGACTTACTTCAGTAGTGGAGTGATCGCCACAGTTGTCATCAGTTTTAGAAAGTTCTGTGTCCATTATTAGAATGTCCTAGTAAATGATCAAGAAAGGACTGAGAGTCAGATGAGCAAAAACAGGAATATTAAACACTCATTGATGTTGCGGTCAGACAGGACATCATCACATGCTGAAAGTTGTCTTTGAACTGAGAGGTCATCCTAAGACAGAAAGAAAAAGCTTTTTTTGTTGAAAAAGGACCTTCATGAATCAACATTATATGCTGCAGGGCAGAACAGACCCCAGATCAGCAACTTCAGGAATTATAGAAGTCAGTAGGCTATATGCTCACCAAAAATACAGTAAAAAAAATTATACAAATATTGTGAAATATTATTATAATTGTAAACAACAATTTAAAATGTGATTTATTTCTGTCATGGCAAAGCTGAATTTTCATCGGCCATCACTCCAGTCCTCAGTGTTAGGCTACGTGATTCTTCAGAAATGATTCTATATAAACTCAGTTTATTGTCAGATTATAAACCATAAAACACCAAGAGACATGTATGCACTAAAACCGCTTCTGAAATTCTGGCATACCTAGGTAAAACATGGATATATTGGGGACAAAATAGAGGTGACAGCAAGGGTATTTGAGAAATGAAATCAAAGTAACGGCTGTTAGTTAGTTAGTCCTGCTGCCTCGTGCAAATTTGTCAACATCAACAGAGTCAAGGCAAATCACTGGATTTAACGTTAACTTATAACAAATACACGCATCCATGCCTGTCCCGGTCTTTTCCTGAATATGACAGTGCTTTCCCACCATACATATTAAAGTTTGTATAAGCACTAAAACCGCTTCTGAAATTCTGGCATACCTAGGTAAAACAAATTAAAATAGAGGTGACAGCAAGGGTATTTGAGAAATGAAATCAAAGTAACGGCTGTTAGTTAGTTAGTCCTGCTGCCTCGTGCAAATTTGTCAACATCAACAGAGTCAAGGCAAATCACTGGATTTAACGTTAACTTATAACAAATACACGCATCCATGCCTGTCCCGGTCTTTTCCTGAATATGACAGTGCTTTCCCACCATACATATTAAAGTTTGTATAATTTGTTAAAATAAACGGCACAAAAAATGCAGTCGTTAAAAGTTCGAATAACAAGACATGCCCTAACGTTACTTACCACACACTTCCCAGAGAAAAAAATGCCTTAAAGGAGCAGGGCGAAAGGGAAAAAAATCTGTGGTCTGTCTATGAAATTAAAAAAATATACAACTGTAGGCTAATACTGTAAACTGTTTCCATGGTCTTTCCTATTAATGTTCAGCAGTACTTGTTGTCTTGCAGTGTAAAGTAGCGAATGTTATTAACTCCGCCCTTTCTTGCCGTGTTTGTTGTGTCTGTAAATCCATGGACGGCAGTCAGGTGGTGCTAGTCAGGCTTTCTTCACTCAGAGACTGCTAGTGTGTGAGAGAGAGAGAGAGAGAGAGAGAGAGAGACCTACTTAACCTGGAAAAACCAGCATTGTCTTGCTGGTGATGCTGGTCTACCAGCAAGGTCTCAGATGCTGGTCTCCCTTACGAAAAAGAAGTTTATTCAAGTGTGCTATTAGTATACTTCTTTTAAATTAAAACATAGGAAAGTATACTTTTAGTCTACTTTTTATGTACTTCTCAGAAATGGGCTATATGTACTTCTCAGAAATATACTTAAAATGACATTTAAGTATACTTGACTTATACTTAGAAAAAGTCTAAATATATTTTAGCTATAATTGTGCTCCTAGAATCTGTGTTTTCATTGTTATACTGTAGGGGGCGCTAGTACTCATCTTCTGTACAGAATTTCCAAAAATCACAAGTGAAGAAGAAACCGAACCAACAGATGCTTCCACATGTATTCTAACAC